AAACCAGCCAGCAGGGAAGGGGAGGCAGCGAGCAGAGAGGGAAGGAGGTGGAGGCAGAGCAGCAGAGGTAGAGCAGGCTCGGACCCAGAGCGGCGGGGGGTGGGGGTGGAGCAGGGCCAGACCCGGAGCAGCAAGGGGGACAGGGACAGATGTGGGGCTCCATCCCCACCCACCCACCCTGTCATTCTTGATGGGCAATTTGCTAGTATAAATAATAAAACAGACTGATCATAACAGACCAGAATGTTTTGGACACTATGGGCTGCTATTTAAAATCTTTAGCTTTGTCTTGTGAATCACATGGCACCTTGGTTGAAAATCACTCATCTCAGGTTACATAGGAGGTCTGTGGCATAGCTAGGAATTGAACTCAGACCCCTGTTCCTAGCCTTTAGGGACCTTCCCCAACCCAGGAAAATGAAGCAGAAAATAAAAAGATGACACTTTTATATTTTATGGTTTAAAATGTAGAGAAAAAATATTAGCATATACTAATTTTAGTAATTGTAATATGATGAAGGAAAAACTTCATGTAAAAATAAATTTGGTACGACTTCTGAATGCACCAACACTCTTATTAACCTGCATCAGATGTACCAAAATCAATTTATTCAGCTAATGGAGAGTGAGAGCTACCCAAATGTAACATCCACATTGATGGCCATGGATGACAAGCATGAAATATAAAGAATGATATGACTTAAATTAGAACAAATGAGAGTCAATTTTAAGATCTGAAGAAGGGTAATCAAGATGTTTAAAAGAAGACCTTTGAGTGTTATTAATTTTCTGTGTCCAGGAACAGAACAAGAACCATTTGTATGTTTGCTGGAGTCCATCCTTAGTCTTTGAATGGTTCTCTTCTAAAAATAAATGCAGCCTGTCCCAGGGGAGCTGGGATGCCGGAAGGCCCCCGGGGCAGCAAAGAGTCCCGCTTACCTCCTGCAGAGCCAGAAGAGCCGAAGGAGGCACACGCGCCGAGAACGCCGGCGCGGGTTATCAGCCGGGCATTTATCCGGCTGCAGCAAAGCAGCAGGGGCAGGGGACGCCTTCCAGGAGGAACAAAAGGCAGCCCCGCCGAGGCAACGGGGCAGCAGAGCGGAGGAGGCTGGAGCGACAAGCCTCAGCAAGCGGGGAATCAGCCGCTACCCGCAGTGTATGAGAGAGAAAGAGGCGGAGCCAGACCTGGCTCCAAGAGACAGAGTGGAGCAGCCGGCAGCAGGGCTGGTGGAGAAGCCAGCACCGTGATTATCGGCTCAGCCGATGGGGAAACCAGTGGCAGCACCGGTAGCAGGACCGGGAGAGGAGCAGGCGGGAGCCTGGTCAGCGTAGCTGGGGAAGGAGCCAGCGACAACGCCAGCAGTAGAGCCGGAGGATGAGCAGACAGGGCCCCAGGCAGCCTAGCTGGGGAAGGAACCAGCTGCAGCACCGGCAATAGAGCTAGAAGAGGAGCTAACTGGATCCCTGACCACAGAGCTGGTGGTGGAGTCAGCTGCGGCGTAAGCGGCAGGAGCGGTGGAGAAGCCAGCCACGTCGGAAGAGGTGGCATAGGTGAGGAAACCAGATGCACCATACAGAGGGGAGCTGGCGGTAGATATGGCGGTCTCGCGGACCACTGGAGTGAAGCAGGTACCGGGCCGGAAGGGCCGGGCTGGTGCCCATGTAGGCAGTACGCCCAGCCCGAAGACCATTATTGACGGCCGGCGTATCGGAGCGAGAGGGTGGCAAGCCAAGGACAACGTTGAGGCCGTAGGAGGTAGGGCCTAAGGTGGTGAGTGGCCGGGGTGTAGGGGAGGACGGAGCCCCGAGATTATCCACCGAGGAACGTGCCGACGCTGGTGGATACCTCAAGGGAGGACCCCCCACTGAAGGTACAATCAAAGTCATGGCAGGCGAGTTCAGGGGTCCCCCTGATACCAGCAGGGGTAACCTCCGGGGTGCACCCACGAACCCAGGGCACGCGAAACCTTGGGCCCGGGCAAAAGCAGCGTGGGAACACTTAGTCAAGCGGAGGCGGGTACACAGCCCTTGAACAGTGGTTGAAAAAAAGAAAGAAATAGTTTTCAATTGTCAGTATCTAACGCAGGGGTCAGCAACATTTTTGGGCGGAGTGCCAAAAGCACCCACAACTTCAACTTGTAAGACGTTGGTGTGCCACAGGTGGATAACCGGGAAGCCATGAGGGGCCCAATCCTTGCGGCCCCTTCCCCACCATCCACCCAGAGGCACGTGTGCCAAGCAAAATGCCTTTGAGTGACACACTCTGGCACCCGTGCCAGGGGTTGCCTACCCCTGATCTAATGGATAGTGTTTATAAACCCCACACAGTGCTTCAAAAGCAAACTGTACTGTCAGGGATTGAAGGGAACCATACATTTATAAACCCTCTCACATTCTGTAAACTAGGCAACAAATTGCTAGGGAACGCACATACATCTAAAAAGAGAAGGTTTCCCAGCCCTTTCAGCTGATAAAACAATCTTCCCTAAAGGAGGCATGGTGCCCAGCATCCTTAGGGAGCTTAGCTAGAAGATCCGGTATAGTTGGCAGCAATTAATTAGCTTTTCCAAAGTGTTCAATGAAATCTTATTTCAAAAATGTACCTTAAGAGTAGATTTACAAAAGAATAACTATTTTGCAGGAGAAATTTATAATCCAGAAAAACAGAAAATCAAAGCAGTTGTCAAGGGTATTTAGCATTGTAGACAAAATCCTCAGAGCAACTTTCAGCTTGAGCAGCAAGACTAGGCACTCAGCTGACATGCAAGGAAGGAATCCTACCCACAAGCTAGTAAAATCTGCATAAGCTACTTCAGTCGAATGGCAGCAGCTATGCTCTCCAGCCTCAGCACACAATGCCACACCTCAGTGCCATAACACTGGATAAATACATGAGAGGATTTGCAAAATAACAGATCTGCTGGATTTGCCTCCATTCTCTCCTTACTATCAGAAAGCCATGCAATTACCTCAATAAATACATGCATAATTAACTCTGCTTCTTCATGTTTTACCAGGAAATTAGGAATTTTTCTACAACTTGTCTTTTATAAATTGTTCAAAACAATTCTTAGAAAAAGCACAGCCAGCTACTATGTGATGCTAGTCATTAAGAAAGTTTAGAAGTGATGTAAAATGTTTAAGTGATTACCTCTCCTATGAAGACAACCATAACACAATCCAATTTCTCTTCAGGAGACAATTTATCAATAAGAGAATGGAGAGTTTCTGTAAGATAAGATTTGACTTTTCTTTTCACCGTGGGAATTCCCATCACAATTGAAACTATAAAATAAAAAGAGAAATGTACTTATAATTATCTCATTTATAGACAAATTAGAATATATGAAACTGTTTTATAACAGAGATTGAGAAATCCACAAGAAGTATTAAAAAACTGAGATAATGTGGTAACCAACAAAGTTTCAAAACGTACCAAATCACTGATAACACCATTACCATATTTACCTAAATCCAAGACAACTTTGAATTCAAGATGATCCCTCAACTAATCAGAATTTATACATGGAAAATGTATAAATGTTATAACTTTCCATGTATAGAATCTAATTATTGAAGGGTCATCTTAAATTCATCCATGACTACTACCGCAGGGAAAGCAGTGACTGGGGGGGGGAACCAACAGCAAAGGGTAAGCGGGTGGATGGGTCAAGGAACCTGACCCCAGCCCTTCCCCACCACTACCTGCCCACCCCATCACTTGTCCCTGCCTGCTGTCTGATGCCTGTATCCCCCCACACCTGTCTGTCCCCACCAGTGCCTATAACCCCTAGTGCCTGACCTTCCCTGCCACTTGCCTCAACAGCTATCTGCCCCCATTGCTGTCTGTCCCCTCCAGTCCCTGAACCCCTCTGCCACCTGCCTCCCCCCACAGTCATATTCTCCCTCTCCACCACTGCTTACCCTTTGTTGGGGCTCTGACTTCTGCCATGCTCCAGCCCAGGGCACGGATCACACGCTGGCTCTGGCCCCTGCCCAAGCAGACAGCAGTGGTTATGGCAACAGAAACAGCAGCTTCAGCCCCACCCCTGGGACCAGGTCAGAGCTGGAACTATCACTACCACTGCTGCTGTTGCAGGGTTGGACAGGGGCCAGAACCCTGAATGAGTGTAAGCAATGGTGGTGGGGTGAGGGAGCGGAAGTGGGAGCAGATGGCAAGAGGGCATTGTGGTAGGGGGTGGAGAAACGGCAGGGGGATATTGAAGCTCTGACCATGAGCCTGGGTCAGGCTGTGGCTGGAGCCACAACAGCCATGTGCTCCTTGCCTTGTATTTGAATCCAGGATAAGGAGCTTTCCCCCCATGTTTTAAGAGGAAAAATCTTCATCTTGAGTAAATATAGTATTACAGAATGCCCCCAATGGTTAAATCAAAAGCAGCCAGACAAAAAAAGTACTAAATGCTTAAATGCTAAGCGTATTATTGGGGGTGTACTTGGTAGCCGTGTTGGTCTGAGACAAAAAGACATACAAAAAACTAGAACTCTTGGTTCCAAAATGATACCTTTTATTAGACCTTGTAATATCATTAATAACTTTTAATTAATTCATACCTTTTAATATCATTAGTTGGTCTAATAAAAGGTATCATTTTGGAACCAAGAGTATTATTGTGCATTGTAAAGATGCATACCATTGTGGTACATATCACTTACGGTTCCACTGTGATTTATACAAATCACAACCTGTTTAGAGAGCTTAGTCTCCAAATATGGCACAACAGGTCTTTACAATTTAATTGTCTACGTAAGATTTAAGGAAAATGTCTACAAATTTTGGACAAAATTTCCCCTTGTTTACCTTCCACTTCTTTGGGTTCTTATAGCTATATGACCAGTTTGGCCACTGATCAAATCCAGAGCCCCAGAATGGCCCTAACACTCCCCATCTCCCAGGATCCCATCTCAGACTTCCTATTCTATATAAACTACCTCAAAATTCAACACTCACACCCCTACTGTATTGCTAATTCTGCATTCCCACCTCCTCCTATCCTCCACAAACCTATTTAACTTTCATGCCTCAACCTCCCCAAGGGCATCTCTTCCCCCCAGTATGATATGGATTGCATCCATCCTGATAGGCAAAGGACAAACGGGATAAGAAAAACTGTGTGAAATACTATGAAGCCCAGTGTAATTGGAGAGATCCCCCTCCATATATTTTAAATATACAAAAATCAGACTGGATTTGGAAATACTGGAAGGCATTCTGAACACATCTTAATTACTGCAGATATTAGATTCTATATTTAATAATACATATTCAGAACACAAAACAGAGGAAGAGAAGGATATAGACTCAACTTTTAACTCTGATTTTTTTCTATTTTTAGCACAGTTGAGTTTAATCAACTTTTTTTGCAATTTAAAATGTTGATATAGTTGATTATATGTTTGGTGTAAACCAATTACAGAAGTCTGAGTCCTCCTCTTCCTGACTGACAATATGCATAGAATTTACTTCCATTTTGTTATAGAGAGAAACAGAATAAGTGAATAAGACGTGATCCAGCACATCTGATAAGTAGATAAGCAACTTTTTAAAACAAAAATCAAATTAGAATACACAACACACACTAACTAGAACTAGTAATTCTACAATAAACAGCTAAGCAAAACATGAAAGCTTAGTTTATGAAAATATTGGCAGAACCAGATTAAATGGTATACATGTGAATTTAATTCTTATAGACACACAGACATGTTTCAAGGGACGTGACCCGGTTGAGCTTTTTCTGGTTGCATGACTACAGCTAATAAGAGTATAATTCTGTGGAGGCACACCCAACCACAAGACTAGAAATGAGTACCAGGCTTTTCCCTCCCTAACCTAAATTGTACATTTTAATGAAATGATCAAATCTAATTAATCTTAGGTGCCCAAAATGCCAAGTCCACTTGGCTACACCATGGAATTTATTGCTGGGAACACCAGAAACACAATTCCACGCTTAGTTTACTATATATAAGCCAAAGGGATAAATCTGATAATAACATTTCCATGCCTTCTTAATTTTGTAAAACTAATGAAAAGAGAACACAAACTGATCCAAATTTAGCCTTTCTTACTGTATACCTTACCACCTTGGATAGCATGTGATCTGAATTGGGCACTAAAGAGCAAAACTGAATGCAAACTCCTTTCATCTTGGATTCAGTGAAAGTGCTAATATCACAGAAGTAATGAGAGTTTTTGAGCTACCAAACAATAGAATAAATTAGACTGCCAAAACCAGGAAATTCTTTAAATGTATGTTTAGTATACGCATTATATAAACTATACCAGCATACCTCCTGTTCGTCCAAGGCCAATCTGCACTGATGGTTGAAGACTTCCTTCATTCTTCAATAAGTGAGGCAAATGGTAATAAATATTTGGCACTTGAAGAGATTTTCTGCTTGTTAGTTCTTTTAGCAATTTCAGTGTTTCATCTGTAAACATATATAAACCCAATAATGCAGAAAATGCATCAGAATGGAAATACTTTTACAGAGCTACAAGATGCATGCAATTTCAAGTCTGATGCTAACTGAAATAAGGCAAAATAAAATGAGGCATTTAAATCAGATTTGTGTACCAAAAACAAAAAATATTATTTTTCATTTAAAAAGTCATACATGGGGTTTTAAGTAGGCTTTTTTTTCTGGAAACTGAAACAAAATTACAAGTGACAGTTACAAAATGCTGCAAGAAATAATATAAAGGAAAGTTCTTACCTGTAGAGAATTTCCATACATTTTTTACCCAGAGTGGATCAAGATGATAGGAAAAGAATAACAGCCAGACAATTCTGAATATTTTGTATTTACTTTCACAGGGTGCATCAAAATGCAACAACATAATCTTTAAATGAATGTTTTTTAAATTGCAGGTATTTTTTAAACATATTTTACATACAAGTATTTTTCATAAAAATAAAATTTCACAGTTTACAATCAAAAAGCTAAAATTTGTGTACAATTTTGTAATAGAAATGCCCTCCACACAAAGCTGTACATTTAAATTATTTACTCAGTTTGAGTATTAAAAGCTAAATCAGTTTGTGATGTTATCAGAGCCTGCTACATTTCAGATTACTTTCACAAAGGAGCACAGATATCAGCAGAGATATCAGCTATGAAATTTCTTTGACAGCATGTAGCAACTCCCTCAAATCAAGTGTGAAACAGTAGCCAATATTTTTAATTAGAAAAAAGCCATAATATATTGACTGTCTCAAAACCTGTAAAGGTCAGGTTAGGTCACAAACTGGATTGAAGACTTCCAAAGAAAATCTGGGTGCCAGAGAAATGATGGTGATGAGATAATAGGTGTCATTCACTCCTGGGATTATAAACAGAACCAGTGGTCCTACAGAACCATAAGTATTTTCTTTGGATAAAATATAAAGCTAAATCCCAGACAACTAACAGTCTTGATTTTTTTTTTTAGTGCCATGACGAGAGGTGTAATATTTGATCTGGGGTCTAAACTCCACTATAGATTATTATAATTTGCTTGCCATATTTTTCTTGCAGATTCAAATGCAGAAGTTGGACTGGAAGTGTCTGTATTTCTAGATAGATGGCAGGATCTGTCATGGAGCTTGAATTCCTTCCAGATTTAAAGTAGTGACCAAAAACAACATATTATTATATATTAATATTTACAATGTGCCTAAGAATCTTTAGACAGATATATACTTAATAAAAATTAATATAAGAACTTGTGAACCTGTGTCAACTCAAATTAGGGGAACCCAATCCCAAATTACAACATTAAAAATGTTATATTCATTCCACACATCTCTCAGGAAAAAACAGTCTTTATGCTGAACCCAAAAGGTCTCGGACTTGGTTTCCATCAGACCAACGTGGAAAGTGACTTACATATTTAAGGTTTTGCAACACACACACTCCCATCACTTGGACAAATCTAGGAATATTAGCTGACCTCAATGTCCATGATAGTGCATGGGAGGACAGGCTTCTTCTTAGGCACCAAGAACTCAAAACTAGGTAGGATTTTTTTTAATGTAAGTTAATACCATTAGTTGCACAAAGAACAAAAGAAGCAGAGCAATCAGTGGGGCCGGCAGGATTCTCTATAGCCAAACATGCTAAATCACAGATTCATAGAGAAGTAGGGCTAGAAGGGACCTCCAGAGGTCATTTTAGGAGGTGCACAGTCCCACCAGAGGAGATGCTCTGCTGGACCTGGTCCTGGCCGCAGGCGACGACCTGGTAAGAGGCCTCCAGGTTCTTGACCACCTGGGCAATAGTGATCATCGCGTGCTGGAATTCACCATCCAGCGTAGAGTGTCAAGGGCCCGCAGCAAGGTGGTGGCCCTAGACTTCAGGAGGGCCAACTTCAGTGAGATGAGGAGATTAGTGGGAGAGGAACTGGGGTCCTTGAGGGCAGAGGAACTCAGCGTCCAAGAGGAGTGGTCGTTCCTTAAGGAAACGATACTCGGGGCCCAAGGGGTGTCCATCCCGACAAGAAGCAAGGCGGGCAGGAGTGTCCAAAAGCCCCCCTGGCTCACCAAGGGTGTCCGGGAATGCCTGCTTGCCAAAAGGGTGGCGTACGCCCGGTGGAAGGGGGGTGTAATCTCCAAAGAGGAGTATACCTCCTCTGCTCGGGCCTGCAGGCGGGCTGTTAGGAAGGCCAAGGCGGAGATAGAGCTCGGATTAGCGTCCAGGATTAAGGATAACAAAAAGTCCTTTTTCAAATATATTGGGAGGATGAAGAAGGCGCCGGGTAATGTGGGGCCCCTGCAGGATATGCGGGGCAATCTGGTGGTTGCGTCAGAGGATAAAGCGGACCTCTTTAACCAATTCTTCACCTCCGTTTTCTTGTGCAGGGACCGGGACTTCCCTGCTGTGATAGAAGCCGGACGCGAGGGGATCGCCTTCAGACCTCAGGTTGGGGAGGACCGGGTTAGAGAGCTTCTGGAGGGGCTGGACGCGTTCAAGTCAGCGGGTCCGGATGCTCTCCACCCCAGGGTGCTGAGGGAGCTGGCTGGGGTTATTGCAGGGCCCCTGGCACGGCTCTACGAGCGATCGTGGTGCTTGGGCCAGGTGCCAGACGATTGGAAGGTAGCTAATGTGGTCCCCATCTTCAAAAAAGGGAAAAGGGAGGACCCGGGCAATTATAGGCCCGTCAGTCTTACCTCAATCCTGGGGAAGCTCTTTGAGAAGATCATCAAGGAGCACATTTGTGATGGGCCGGCATCCGAGATGATGCTCAGGGGCAATCAGCATGGATTTATTAGGGGGAGATCATGTCAGACCAACCTGATTGCCTTTTATGATCAGGTCACAAAGGCCATGGATGCAGGTGTCGCGGTGGATGTAGTCTTTCTGGACTTCAGCAAGGCCTTTGACACCGTCTCTCACCCCATCCTAATTAGTAAACTAGGCGACTGTGGCATAGATGCCTACACGGTCAGATGGATTGCAGATTGGCTGAAGGGTCGCACTCAGAGGGTGGTGGTGGATGGATCATATTCGACTTGGGGGGAGGTGGGTAGTGGAGTCCCTCAGGGCTCGGTCCTGGGCCCTGCGCTGTTCAATGTCTTCATCAGCGATCTTGATGTTGGGGTGGAGAGCAACCTGTTTAAATTCGCTGATGACACCAAAATTTGGGGGGAGGTGAGCACGCTAGCAGGGAGAGAGAGATTGCAGAAGGATCTGGATAGGTTACAGGGGTGGGCAGACAGGAACAGGATGCGTTTCAATACGGACAAGTGCAGGGTGCTGCACTTGGGTAGTAGGAACCAGCAGCACACTTATAAGATGGGGAGCTCCCTACTTGAGAGCACGGAGGCGGAAAGGGATCTTGGTGTCATTATTGACTCCAAGATGAACATGGGCCGACAATGCGAGGTCATGGTTGGCAGGGCTAACCGGACCTTGTCGTGCATCCACAGGTGCATCTCGAGTAGAGCCAGGGAGGTGATCCTCCCCCTCTATGCGACGCTGGTCAGGCCGCAGCTGGAGTATTGTGTCCAGTTCTGTGCGCCCCATTTCAGGAGGGATGTGGACAACATGGAGAGGGTCCAGAGGAGGGCCACCCGCATGATCCGGGGACAACAGGGCAGACCCTACAGTGAGAGACTGCGGGACTTGAACCTATTCAGCCTCCACAAGAGAAGGCTGAGGGGGGACCTGGTGACCGTCTATAAACTCACTAGGGGGAACCAGAAGGGTTTGGGGGAGACGCTGTTTCCCCTAGCCCCTGCTGGCATAACAAGGAATAATGGGCACAAGTTGATGGAGAGGAGGTACAGATTGGACATCCGAAAAAACTACTTCACAGTCAGGGCGGCTAGGAGCTGGAACCAACTTCCAAGGGAGGTGGTGCTGGCCCCTACCCTGGGGATCTTTAAGAAGAGGCTGGATACTTACCTGGCTGGACTCATTTGAGTCCCGTTTTTGTTTTTAGGGTGAGTGGTTTTGTTTGTGTTTTTTGGGTTGTTCTCCCGCCCTGGCGGGGGGTCGGGCTAGAAGATCTATTAGGTCCCTTCCGACCCTGAAACTATGAAACTATGAAATTTAGTCCAACCCCATGCCAGACGCAGGATCAGCCCTATCCAAACCGTTTTATACAAATCTATTGTCTAACCTCTTAACAAAACTACGGTAGACCCTGATGAAAAACCCAAGACATAACACCCTACCATTCCATAGGTAAAGTAAGAGGACCACAGCAGCCACTGTCCTGCTACTGCAAAGGTATATGCTTGAAAGATCCCAGGAAGAGGGCATTAGCAACGTGTAGGGGGTGCATGCGGGTGCACGTGCACCCCCTGAGATAGGCCATGCACCCCCTGGAAGTGCCAGCAGAAGTGCACTTTTCCAGTTTCACTGCTGGTGGTTCCGCACTCGGCAATCGGCGGCTGGGGGACCCCCCCCAACAGCCATCTGGTGCCCCCCCAGACTTGGGAGGCACCAGTCACAACTGGAAGAGGATCACGCTCCCCACTACAGAGCAAGGCAAAAACTCCCACAGTACATACCAATCTAACTACTGGTTACAATTCCTTCCTGACCCCAAATATGGCAATTGTTCTGACCTTGAGTGGAGGGGCAAGACCTTCTAGTTAGGTACCTCCAGGTTTAAGTCCCAGGAGGAACATAGGCACCCCAGTCAAAATCCCCAGCCTTTGTTGCAGCCAATGGACAATGCCTCTGAGGAAGGCTTAAAAACAGGAACAAAACACACTGATATTGGTAGCAGCAGGGCAGGGAAAATTCCCTCCCTATCCCGTGCAGCAGCTAGCAAAGCCCAGAATCTTGGGAAATAGCCATAAAAGAACATAGGCATAGCTACACCTAGATCATCCCTAACCAGTGACTGTCCAACCTCTTCTTGAGCTTGGGCCATTTCTAACTACATCAACTTTAGCTTATGAATGTTATATAATGCAGAATGCATGGTAGTAGTCCAACCTGGAGATCAAAATAACATGGCTAACAGTGGTAAAAGACATAAAAGAAACAGTGTTACATTAAATTATACATTCATTAAAAAACCCCAAACATTTATGTCTAATGCTCCTGAAGCCTGATCTGTTCAGTGATGAAGTGTGAACCACTAAAATACTGAAGGACAATTCTTTATTAGTTCCAAGACAGATGACTTAAAATAAGGGTTGGCAACTTACAGCCCACAGGCTAGATCCAGCCTGCAAAGAGGTCTGATCTGGTCCACAAAGGTTTCATCTGGCACAGTACAAAGTTGTATCATGTTTCCCCCCTTTCCCCTCCCCCATGTTGTAGAGCCTACTGCTCTGCTACACCTGCACATACCCTTGCAACAATATTAAATTACAATATTAAATTAAAGCAAATCTAAACCCTGGACTGTACCTGAAAAATTGTTTAATGCATCCTTACTTCCATTTGTTTCTGCTACTGCACGCCTGAACTGCTCCAAGATGGCATTTAACTCAGAGGAGCGCTGCAAAGTTCTGTGCTCAGCTATGCGAAGGCGTTCTTTCAAAGCATGGAATTCCCGTTGGTAAGCAATCAACTTTTCTAGAAAGGAAAAAAAAATCTGGTTACTTACTTTGGAAAACATTTAGGACTAGATTCCTAACAAGACACAATATGATGTCACAATATCAAATAATTCAATGTTAAACTGTGCACAGGAGAACTCAGTTTTGAGTCAGACAGCTCAGTTCTCTATGGGATGCAAGGGAGACAATGTATAACTTCAGAATGTGATCCAAACTAGCGAGTATACTGAGTGGAATAACCAAAAAGGAAAGGGTAAGGACATGGATATGCCTTAAATACCCCTCTTCAGTGGGTTAAAGGACTTAAGTCTGGTATAAAGGGAAGGCATCTCCCTCTGCAGCCCTAAGCCACCTTCTACAGTTATTTCTCTCTCCAAAGTCAAAGTAGGGATCACTTCTTGAAGAAGCCTTGACATTTGCACTCCCCTTCAAACCAACGGGTCAGTGGTTAAAATGTCAATGTTGAAAACACGAGCTCAATTTCCCCCTACCTCCCAGGAGACTGCCTTTATTATCAGCAGGGTTCCTGGATCTCTCTGATAAGAAAAATCCCCAATTTTCAGTTTAAAATCAGTAACCCAAAATCCACATTTTTCCACGATTAAAATGAAACACCCCTAATATATAAACAGTGTGTGTGTGTGTGTGTGTGTACACACATTGTTTTTATAACGAAAATTGGGGATGTTTTTAATAGAGAAAACCAGGATCCCTGATTATCAGGCTACAAGCTGTTCTTGGGCAGGGGTGCTCTCAGTATCTCCACTTGAAACTATTCCATTCTTTGCATAAAAGAATTAAAGATACACAGGCCAGACGAAGTGTGGGCCTCATTTTCCAGCTTAGTGGTTAGGGCACTCATGCAGAAATACATCTTTCTCTTGCCAGAAGACTAATGTGTATAATTCCTTCTTATCTATATCATGCTCATCCTTCCATTATTTTCTTAAGATTGATTATACTTTACTTCTTCCCATTTTTCCTTTTTCCTCTCTCTGGTATTGTCCATTTAATATTTTGAACACATAGATAAATGCCTTAGTTTTAGAAATTACAAAAGAAAACATGGGTCATAAATCATCTCTTAAAAATACCAGTCGTAGCAACATGTTTTGTTAAAACAAAATGGTTTATTGCTTTCTGACAGCAAACACAGAATTCAGATGCTGGCACACAGTATTTTCCCATCAGGTGAAGCCAGATAGCTACTGGAAACATGATTTGTTGCTTCAGTGAGCATTACCAAAACAGACTGGAAAATTGCCTGAGTCTTAATGAATATTTTTATTTGGCAGCTGCAGCGCTAACCAGAAAAAAAAACAGATGGTTTGGAACTATAACCATCAATAACACTAAAATTATTAGTGTTCATAGGATCACAGGAAAGTGGGATAGAAGGGACTTTATGAGGTCATCTAGTTCAGCCCCATGCCCAAGGCGGGATGCCCCTGACTACGCCATCCCAGCCAAATATCTGTCCAACATGCTCTTAAAAATATCCAAGGATGGCGATTCCACGATTTCTCTAGGTAGCTTGTTCCAATGCCTGACCACACCCACAGCTAGAAAGTTCATCCTAATCTCCAGCCTAAACTTCCCTTGATGTATCTTGAGGCCATTGATGCTAGTACTGTCATCTACAGCCACAGAGAAAAGCCCATCTCCATCCTCTCTATAATCACCCTCCAGGTACTTGAAGGCTGTTATCAAATCCTCCCTCAGTTTTTCTTCTCCAAACAAAATAACCTAAAATAGCTTTTCCACCTCAGTATTACTTTGCAAGCCCAAAATTATTTTTGTTGCTCTGCACAGGATTTTTACCAATCTGTGTTATCTGAAAGAATTGTAAATGTTATTGAGCATTGTGCCAAATTCTAAAAACCATGAACAAAACATTTGATTTCCATAATCGATGCCCATGCCAGGTTGAATTATTTTTTTCATAGGGGGGTGGGTGCACTCAGGGAGGCAAATTACAGTCAAAACAGTTGAGCCATTGTTTGGGGGGGAAAAAAAGGGGCGGGGGTGGTCAGGGAAGCTATATTTGTTTTGCTCCCAATTTAAAAGAAAGTCACAATAATTATTAGTAAAGTTTAGTAATTTAACAACTAATATCCCCAAAGATTCTTGTCCTGCCATGAATGGAGCATGCTGTGCTTTCCCTAGAACTGCAACACAATAGACACTGCATGCTAGGCCAGCCTGGGGCATATGAGCTCACAGCAGGGAACATCTCTCTCCTGTGCTCTCAGGCTGGGTAAGACATTTAAAAAGCCTGAGCCTGAATTGATTCAATCTTTGCAGGTTAGTCTAACCTGCCTACGTTGAATCAGGTTGTAACTGTACAGACATCCCCTCTGGACTGAAGAAACGCAGGCACATGCCTGCAGTGGCTCAGGCTAGGAGCTGGAGGGGCACTAGAGCATCCCTCCTTTCCTGTCCAAAGTACTGAGCTAGCGTGGGGTGGGGAGAATGACCAGGCCCTGGCAGGACACTCTGATTATGTTCCTCTCCCCACCTTGCTGCTGATAACAGAGCACTGAATTACACAACAGAGAGTTGCATAGCATTTATTCACCCATCAGCAAAACAAAAGCCTCTCTCATTAGTTCAAGCTCTTCTTAAACAACTTTTTCCAAGGAAGGAACAGAGAGACATTACCAGCTACCTGTCGATTAGCTCCAAAAAGCCCTAAGCCAACACTGTCCTGTCTGCCTTCATCTAGTCTCCCACAGCATGGACCGTAGCCAGCATGTGGTATGCTAGCTAATGCTGAGAGGTGTCTGTGTAAGGCAGAGGGAAGGGAGGAACCCCTGCTTGAGCAGGGAGTGGGGAGGGAGGGAGCAGAAGGAAGGGATCTGGGACAGACACTGCATAAACTGGTTTGACCCATGCCCAAATCAGTTAAGTCTGATACTACATTCAACCAGGTTTATCTCAAACCAGTTTCAGCCATTTTCAAGCTGGTTTACATGCACTGAACATCTGTTCCGTTATAGGTTAAACCAGTTTCTGATCATTCAGTGTGTAACGTCTGTCCTTAGCCCCATGCTGGATTGAAGAAATGAAGGCACATGCCTGCACTGGCTCAAGCTAGAAGCTGGGGGGCACTACAGCAGCCCTTCCTTCCCTTCCCTTTCATAGTGCTGAGCTGAGGGGAGGTGTGGCCAGGCCCCAGCAGGACTCTCTGATTAAGGAGGACCGCCCCAACGCCACAACACTTGCTGCTCCTCACCAGCGAAGGAGCCAGCAGGGAGTTGATAACAGCATTTAGTTACACAGCAGGGAGTTACACAAGGAGTTGATACCATTTAGCACCCCATCAAAAGAAAACAAAAGTCTCTCTTGTTAGCTCAAGCTCAAGCTCTTCTTAAACAGCTTTTTCCAAAGAAGGAATGGAGGGACATTACTGGCTACCTGTTGATTAGCTCCAAAAACCCCAAAGCAGACACTGTCCTTTCTGCCTTACATGGACACCTCTCAGCATTAGCTAGCATACCACATGCTGGCTATGGTCCGTGGTCTGGGAGAGGAAAGGGGGGAATCCCTGCTTGAGCAGGGAGTGGTGAGGGAGCTGGGGGGGGGCAAGGGGAAGCCAGGCAGATACTGCTGTCTCTGCTGTCTTTTCCAGAGCTCCAGCCAGGGAGCAAAGGGATGGGGCCAGCTCTGCTGTGGAGCAGACAGCCCTACCCAGGGCTGCAAAGCATGGTGTAAGTTAAACCAGGAAGGAGTCTAGGACAGACATTGAATGAACTGGTTTGACCCAAATCGGTTAAGTCTGATACTACAGTCAACCAGGTTTATCTCAAACCAGTTTCAGCCATTTTCAAACTGGTTTATGTGCACTGGTACAGGTTTAAACCAGTTTCTGATCACAAACTAGTTTATGTGTAATGTCTGTCCCTAGCCTCAAAGATCATTGCTGAGCCAGACAAATTGGAAGAGGAAGTTTCCCAAATCTAATAATGATGGGTATGAGATGTAATACCAGGCTATAGGGAAAGGAAGCTGGAGATTGGTAGGGCATAAAATTAAGACCACAGGCTGGCAGGGAAGAAGGCAACACACTGTGTGGAAAAAGAGCAGGCTCAGCACGGAACACCAGAATGCCCTTGCTCCACCAGGAGCCTTTGCTTGTAGGCACAGCCATGTGCTGCCCAACTACAGAAGCTTGGCAAACCTGCATCACATAGGCTAGGGACAGACATTCAAAAAGCCAGAGCCTGAATTGATTCAATCTTTGCAGGTTAGTCTACCTGCAAACTGATTTACAAGTACGCAGGCATTCATGTTTAATTCTGCAAATGCAGACGCATGCCTGCAGTGGCTCAAGGTACAAGCCAGGGGGCGCTAGAGCAGCCCTCCCTTCCCTTTGCAGCAGCTGCAAGGCTGGAGAGAAACTGACCTGGGGTGTGTGGCCAGGCCCCCAGGAGCCAAGTACGATTGTGGCGGGGTTTAAAGCCCTACCCTGGCCTGCAGGGACCCCAGCCAGGATGTGCCTGGAGGGACAGGGGGGAAGTAGCCCTTGCCAGGCTTGTCCTCAAGGCCAGACAGGTCTGGGCAGTACCTCAGGCAAAGTGGGGCAGGGAGTGGGGAATAAACTCCCCTGTCTCTGGGCATGGGACCCTGGGGTCTGCCCACCTTCCCCTCCTGCTCTTGCTTGGGTGGCAGAGGGCCTGGCCAGAGCCATCAGCATGGCCCTGATATCTGCCAAGGGCTGGGACTGTGGCTGCAGCTGGGGCTACAGGGCTGAGCCCAGCCAACTTGTGGGTGTTGCTGAGGGCAGAGGCAGAGGGGCAGCCCAGGCTGGGTCCAGGGGGGTTGCATGGCCAGACTGCTCCCTGCTCCCCATGCCCAAGCAAGGCAGGACTGTCACGGAGCCCCAACCAGCTGGGTAGGGCCCCACAGGGAAGTCCATGGGGGCAGGGTCCTTCCCAGCCCACTGTGGCCATGTGACAGCCTGGCCTGGCAGCACAGGTGGGGGCTGGCTGTGGAGCAGGGTTCCCAGGCCAGCTT